AACCCTCAACCCTAAACCCTAAACCCTAAACCCTAAACCCTAAACCCGAACCCCGAAACCCTAAACCCTGGGTGTAATGGCACGCTTCCCGATGCATTGAAAATGGCACGTTTCCTGAGGTATAAAAATGGGCATGATTTTTGCTATGCGGGAGAGCACGTTTCCCGATGCGTGAAAAGGGGCACGCTTCCTGAGGCACAGTAAGAGGCATGTTTCCTGAAGCACTGTTGGGCGCGCTACCCAAAGCACGGAAAGGGGCATGCTTCATGATGCACAGAAGAGGGCACGATTCACGACTCGAAAGGTGGCACACTTCTCGAGATGCTGAACGGGCAAATTTCGTAAGACGTAGAAAGGGGCATGCTTCCCGAGATGTTGAAATAGGCATGCTTTTCAAGACGTGAAAAAGGGCACGCCTTACGCGACGCGGTAGGTGGCATGCTTCTCGAGTCACGAAAATGGGCACGCTTCATGATTCATAGAAGGTGGCACAATTCATGAAACGCAAAAGGTGGCATGCTTCTCGAGACGTGAAAAAGGGTACGCTTCTCGAGGAACGGTAAACTGGCATGCTTTCCAATGCGCAGGAATGGGCACTCTTCCCGAGATGCAAAAAGGGCACGCTATCTGAGGCGTTTAACGGGCCACGTTCACGATGCGCAGAAAGGGGGCACACTTCCCGAGACGCATAAAGGAGCACACTTTCCAAGATACGGAACGAGCCATGCTTCACGATGCGTAAAAAAAGGGGCACGCTTCTCGAGGAAAATAACACAAAAGAAGTAGCGTTTTACAGAACAAGCTTTAGACGACGGGTTTAGGCTTTAGGCGACGGGTTAAAGCTTTCGACGACGGGTTGAAGCTTTAGGTGACTGGTTTAGGGTTTGGGGGTAGGGTTTAGTTTATGGTTTAGGTTTTAGTTTTGTGGTTCAGGTTTTAGGGTTTAGGCTTTAGGCGACGGGTGCAAGTTTTAGGCGACGGGTTAAGGCTTTAGGCGATGGGTTAAAGCTTTAGGTGATGGGTTCAAGCTTTAGGCAAGGGGTTGAAGCATTAGGCGACGGGTTAATGCTTTAGGCGACGGGTTAAAGCTTTCGGCGACGGGTTTAGGGTTTGGGGGTAGGGTTTAGTTTATGGTTTAGGTTTTAGTTTTGTGGTTAAGGTTTGAAGGTTCAGGCTTTAGGCGACGGGTTCAAGCTTCGGGGTTAGGGTTTAGTTTAGTGGTTTAAGGGTTAGTGATGAAGCTTTACACGACGAGTTAATGGTTTAGGGGAAAGTGGTGACAGACAAGGCATTGCATTTTCAACTCTTAGGACAATTACTCTCACTCCTAACAAGGCATTGCGTTTTCAACTGTTAGGCCGATTACTAAACCTGATAAATCTATTATTCATGCACCTCATCGTTATTTACTCTCACTCCTAACAAGGCATTGCATTTTCAACTCTTACGACAATTACTAAACTTGATAATTACTTAGGAGAAGGCACCTGACCTGAACGAACTAGACGAAAGACGAAGAACGACCGATGAAAGAAGAAAGGCGAAAGCCGAAGGACAACCCTAAACCTAAGGCGTAGGATTTTCGCAACGAGTTAAAGAGGCAGGCAACGGGTTAAAGCAATTCGCGATGGGTTAAAGGAATTCGCGACGAGTTAAAGCAATGCGCGACGAGTTAGCCCAACGACGCGAAAATCGAGTTGGGCAACAGACACAAAAATCGAGAAGGCTCAAAAGAACTCAAAAACAATGAGCGCCAACGACACGCAAATCGAGAAAAGGCATGCTTTCCAACGCTAACCCTAAACCCTAAATCGTAAAGGGGCACACTTTCCCACGTGCAAAAATGGGCACAATTCTCGAGGCACGCTTACCAAGGCACAAAAATGGCACGCTTCCCGATTCGTAGGAAGAGGCGTGCTTTCCTATGCAGAAGGATGTGCACGCTTCCCGATGAGCATAAAAAGGGCACGCTTTACGAGGTGAAAAAATGGGCACAATTCTCGATGTGCAAAAATGGGCATGTTTCCCAATGCAACAGAAAGGGCACGTTTCCCAAATCGAGAAGGCCCGAAGGAACTTCAAAACGATAAGCGCCGACAACATGCAAATCGAGGAAGCCCAAAAGAACTCGAAAACGATGAGCGCCAGCAACACGCAAATTGAGGAGGCCAAAAGGAACTTGAAATCCCTAAAGCTAGCGACACGCAAATCGAGGCGATCCAAACCCCCAACCCTAAATCCTTACTCCAGTTCAGATGCAAATGGTCCACATATCCCGGTCAAAACTACCGTTTAGTATCGTTCAAATGAAAGTCCCCATCTCACATAACCACAACTATCGTGGTTTAGTTACCAAGCAGGTCACTGTAAAGACGGTGACCAAGAGTTTCTGTGTATATTAATTAAATTGGAATTAGATTACATATTTTATCATAAGATATTCTACCACATGACTTATTCCATTACGAGAAATCTTGCCAACTGCAGATATTTTGGGCTTCTTGACATTATCACCTCGATTGGATTTTTAAGTTACGATCCAGAAACCAACTCTTTCAAAGATGTGAAAGGTGAGCCATATCCGCTGACAACAGCGTCTCCCCATAGAGCCATTCCTGTTAGGAGAAAATTAGATAGAGTTCTTTATGTTCAACACATAAGCAACCTAAGCATATATTAAATTCATTATTTTTCTTTGTAAATACATTTATTTAGGTGGGGATGCTTTATAAAGTGATAGTACTACACTGCATGGACAAAGAAACAAACCTATCCACAAAAACAAACCAGTTGTAGCTGCTAAGAAAAATTCCTTGCTGATACTGTTGAACCTGAAATTACTCGCAAATTACAAACGATTCTTAGTAGAGATCAAAATTCCCACCAACAAGAACATTAGGAATATCCATTTGAAGATGAAGAACCAAAAATCAGAAACTATTACCAATACAAGCACACGATATTCCCATATCCATAAAAGAAAGAAGCCCAAGTAGAACCAGTGAACCTGCAGTCATTGTTGACCGTTATTTTTACTAAAACTCAAGTATATAAATCCATTATCAAATCAACAAATATATAGTTCAACCATAAAAAATGTCTTGCAGCAGTTTAAGGTCACTGAGATAGATAATTACCACATCAAGTCACGAATAAAAAGTGCACGTGGGATCATAAGCCCATTTCCAATCATTGCAAGCAACATCGAGGAAGCTGATAAACCTTTGATGTTGTCAGGATTTAGGAAATTTGTCCACTGAACAGGAAGCATTAATGGTGGTCAGATTAATACAAAAAATTACCAACAGAAATTCTAAAATAGTACCATTTGTGAAACTGGCATCCACATGAAGAGAAGTGTAGCTGTCCATCCAGATATTCCTCCAACAAATTTTATGCCACCTTCAGAGAGTTTTCCCATCCGAGCCTACAAATATTAGCAGCTGCAAGTCTGAAAAGACGCAAAATAGAATATCTTGCATTTCTCTCTTAATTTGCAAAGAAGAGAAAATTTTAAAGGAAAAAAAGTAGTTCTCATTTCAGATGATAAATACGGGATAACTCCTTTTAAAGACAAGAGGTTAACTTTAAAACAGTTTCCCATTAACCTTAATGGAATATGTGAAGATTCAAGTAATAGAATAAAGACTCTTTGAGAGGAAACAAAACTTACCATAACAATTGCCACCACAGCTACAACAAAAGCCAATGCCCCAGGCAAAATACTGTTGGGTATATGTGGAACAAACGTAGACCACATAATCTATAATCATAATCGTTGAGAAAAGATATTAAAATTGAGCAATTGTTCGACGCTCTGCTTACCAATATGAAAAAAGATGTGAGTTTTAAGAGAGAGAGAGAGAGAGATAGATCACTTGGGGAAGAACCGATAGCCCACCAACAGTAATAAAGTCCTCCCAGAAGCGCCAGAGTCCAGCATTAAGCCAACCAAAGTAATTCAAGAAATTCAAAACAAGACCAGTTGCGACAACAGTGGACGTAATGACAAAGTAAGGTAGAGGCATTGCATCTGCCATCGAAAGCTGAGCAAAAACCACATATAAGGAAATTACACCCAGTGTCTGCACCACAATGGCCTCATTCTCCCTCTTCTTTGCAAAATATGAAAGCAGGGAAAGGTTTCCAAGCAAACCAGTAAACATTCCCTGCATTTACAACATTCCTCCCTTGCTTAGGCTACTAATGTTGATTATTTTCTAATATAACGAGAAAATATTCATGTTCTAAGCAGTAAGCAGCCTCCTCAATCCTCATGAATAAAGTAATAAGGTGGTGGCACATTGGCGATAGTGTATTACCAACTTACCATCCATGGGACTGCCAAAAGGGCAGCTTTATTTCCTGCCAGAAGATTTTGGGCATTGAGGTAGATTTGAGGCATTTGCAGTAAGAGAAATGGGATATTTGATGCGCCCGAGAACTTTGCTGTCCACGAATTCCATTGCTCGAAACCAGTTTTGCTGCTCGTGGATTTCACTGATCCCTTTTCCGGAGAATGGAGGAAACAATTTCAATTTTGAGCAATCAGAATGTATGAATATTAATGTTTGAGTTTGACCCAAATCAAGGGACTCAGAGTCACATAGTATATGATATTTATCAGTTAAGACCAAAATAATAACAATTATTATTGGAGTTTCAAATCTATGAACATCATGTCATGTCAGAGAGAATCAAACAGTTTTACACACAACGGGCAAATTGTTATCATAAGATGTGCATTACATCCCTTAAGTTACATATGAGGAGATGAAAAGAGAGAGAGAAAATATAACACAAGTAGTAGTACCTGGTGAAGAGGGTGAGGGACGTCGGAGTCAAGAGCGCTGAGAGTTGAGTGGCGCCGCAAACGCAAAGGAATGGGATGGTAAAAGTTGAACAATAAGCATTGGCCTTGGCCAGCGGAAGAGACGGTGAGAGCGTTGGTGTTGGTGTTGTGTTGGATTGACGAGGAGGAAGAGGAGGAGGCGGGAAAGGATTTCAGATGATGATGTTGTTGCAGTCGAGGATGAGGAGGCGGACCAGGGATGTAGGAGGAGTACGGCACCACCATTAGGCTCTCGGCCATTGATATTTGAATTGATTTTATTACACTTTCCAACACTCACTCAATGGAGTCTGGATCTTGGGGAATTTGGGAAATTTGGAATTGGATGCTTATTAAGTTGCAGCGTGGGGATATGTGCGCATCTCCAGACGACACGTGGAAAGTGATATTTGCTTGCTCAACCTCATAAACTCATAACTTGACATGGTATAGTCAAATCCAATCCAATGTCCATGTGATATTTCCATGTGTGCGAGAACGAGCAAGCGCAAAACGCAAGTTTTAAGCAGGCAGGAGCCAGATCCGAGAAACTTTTGCAGTAGGGCCGGCCTGAGAATTTCGGAGCCTCAGGCGATCTATGAAAGTGGGGTTCTAAAATTCTTTGATCTTTGATTATTTGTATATTAATTTGTATAAAAAAAATTCGTTAAATACATAAAAAGTTCTATTTTTACATCAAATATCATTAAAAATTAATATCAAAAGAAAATAAATATAAAAATATTATTTAAACATTATATGATTCACGTTTTTAGACACAAATGTACTAAATGTTTGTAATCAAGAGTTTAAGATTGAGAGTGAAGAATAATAAAACTTGATGATCAAGAGAGTAAATAACAATAAAACTTAATTGACGAGTATAATAAATTCAACGCCAATTGTTTCTCTTGTGTTTTTTTTCTTCTAAAATCAACATCACACTAACGAATTGAATATTAAAATAATCCATTGAATAAAAAGTTATTGAAAAGAAAAATATAAAATTGAAAGTTTTGATTATCTTAAAATACAATCTTTAAGATCATATGATAGTTGGTTTAACCATTCAATAGAAATGGAGAGAATGAGAAGTTGGTTTAAACATTCGATAGAAATTGAGAGAATGAGAAGTTGAAAGAAAAAAGATTGCAAAGAAACTTGAGTTTTATAACTTTATATGCATTTGGACAGATGGATTGGGAGTTTGACAAATAGATTGGCAGTAAATTTGAAAAATAAGAAAAATTAAGAAAAATCTAGTGACTGAAAGGCAGTTTCGTGTTTTGAACTCAACACCCCAAAGAAAAATGAAGCCAACATTTCCAATGCACTAACAAATGAATTACGATATTTCTTACTTTTTTTTTTTTGTATTTATATGTTAATTATAGGATATAAAATATTTTTGGGGGCCCTTCCGAAGTAAGGGCCCTAGGTGGGTGCCTACTTGGGCTACCCTCAGGGCCGGCCCTGTTTTGCAGATCCAAAATTTTCTGAAATACTTCAAAGAGATGGTTTATCAGTTGATCTTAAGTTATTTTGAGCCTTCAATGTGAAGGGTATCCCACTTAACTTTATTCAGAGGGACACTTTATGTAACGACCTGTTCCCAAAGTTTACGGTTTTATAAAATTTAAAGTGTGAATTTACAAAAATGTCATTCAAGGTGAAAAACGTTGACTTTTGTTGACCACCAATCGTGTCACGTAAGATCTGTTTTCTTGGCGTATCATCGTAGTACTCGTCACTATGAACGTGTGGGCGCAAACGAAACGTAATTTGGAGTTATAACGAATGAATTATTAACGGTCAAAGTTGAGGGTTAAATGGTCATTTGACCATAAATATGGAAGGCTCCAGATTTTGTTAGAGCATCAATCTGGTGCTACATGTGTGGCTATGATGGAAAGAATAGGAGAGAAATGAGGGGGAGCTGCCCAATCGGGGAAGAAAAAGGGAGAGTGAACCAATGGGAGAGGAGAGAAATGAGGGAAGGGAGGAACTAGCCAACTCGGACCTCCTTTAGACCCGAGCCACCCAACCCGGTAGGAACCATGGAATCCGATGCTTCCTCCGGGTGAATTTTGGTGAATTACGCCACGACACCACCTAAGAAACACTCCACAACCCTCCCTCTACCATTTCCACCCCAAAATCGAAGAAATTAGGCTCGGATTCTTGAAAAACTGCATTGATGGGTGCGGTGGTTCCATAGCGGCGATCCGTTAATCCCAAAGCTAACTCCGTCAACCACCACCACCAATAGACTTCCCTCAACCCCAGGAGTAAGGCCCAAGCATTGGATGAGGCGTCGAAGTTCGTTTAGGCATCGAATCAAGAACACCCGTTTCAAGGGTTTCCGACGAATCGAGGGTGATTTGAGGTGTTTCCCGACCGAATTAGACTTTAGCCCAGGTATGAAAGTTGTTCCTCTCATTGATATCTACATTCCTGTAAAATTTAAGAATTTTTGAAGTTGTTGAATTTTCCGGCAAATCAGGGTTGTCGGTCGCCACGTACGGTAACGCGTGGGGGGAAACCCAAGGTCCTTCCTTAGGTTTTTCAACGTTCCAAATCTGAATTCACCATCTATTTTCTCAAATTCTATCGTTTAGGTATAGTTTTACTAAATGGTCTCAAATTATGGTTAGGTGCATCGATGGGAAGTAACTTCATCCTCGCTAGCTTGAGCGGTTCCCGGGAAACAAAATATCTGTGAGTGGACCCCCTTCTAAACTTGCATGTTTTTATAAAATTTTAGGCTTGCATACATTGAATATTTCATGAAATGTGCATGTTTTCTATTATGTTTTATGGATTCTATAATCATGCTTTTTGAAGAATTTATGATTTATATAAATTGTTTTTACGAAATATTTAGAATTTATCGAACTATGTTTTATGAAAGGTTATGAATTATTGGGTTTTCGTATATGAAATTTTGTGGATTATGAATACGATTTATTTTACGGATTTATAAATATGCGCTATCATGGATTGATTGAGATGAGCTTTTGAGCTTTTGAGCTCCGGATTTGATATGAGGTTTTCGAGATATGTTTTCGGTACTTATCTAGTGGGTTACCGTAAAACACATCCACACAACAAGGGTATGTAGATGTCTATGGGCATAGGACACAATTAAGGATATCTATGTATATGTTTCTTCTCCGGCGTAACCCGAAGTCGTATAACTTCACCTTCAAGTGATGGGGCCTACCATGTTTCTTCACTGGCGTAACCCAGTGTCGTACAACTTCATCTTTGGGTGATGAACATGTACTTCCTTCAGGCGAATGAGGAGTTGATGATATTGATGATATACCCTAGCTTCACTAGCCCGGGGCCAATGTTGGTGTGTGATGTATAAGTTTCTTCTCCGGCGTAACCCAAAGTCATACTGCTTCACCTTCGGGTGATGGGGCCTACCATGTTTCTTCACTGGTGTAACCCAGTGTCGTATAACTTCACCTTCGGGTGATGGATAGGTATTGCCTTCGAGCGAGTAAGATACCCCTAAAGAGTACAGTATTGATAAGATTTATGAGTTTGCATTTAGGCAACGATAGCACAATCATCGAGCATTGTTTTACACTTACATGTTTTATAAATGTTTTTCAATGCATGCTAGAGTTTTCAAAAAACCTATTATGTAGTATTATATTTGTTTTCAAAACAGGGGGTTAGTATGTTCATAAATAAAATGGTTTTCTTATTATTAGTACTATTATTATAAATTTTGGTCCATCCACCATTTTGGTTTTGCACCCCCTCAGGATTTAAATTTGAGGCACACAATCCCGGTGTCAGGACATTTCTACTTAGGCATCTTCGAGCCTTCTCTGCGTAGGTCTTATTCCTCGGTTCGTACATTTCTATAATAATTCTTTCATATTATTCTTAATTAGTTGTATACTCTGAACATAGTTCTGCACTAGTAGACTTCCATCTAATCTCATATTTTAATTTGCATGCATGTTTAAAATGGCTTCGTCACCCTCGAATGTCGGCCAACACATGCCTATCATGATATTTGGGAATATCGGGGTTGGGGTGTGTCACTTTACTGCCTCAACTTCTATTTGCGACACTTTACCATCTAAAATTCTGAATTAAACTTTTGTTTTTGTCGCAAAATACCACCTACCATCAATACGTTAGAATCATCATTGTCAAATAACAAAACCAAGTGAGGGAGAAATAGGACTGTATAGTTCAATATGTAAATTACAAAACCATATCGAAGCCAGAGAGTTACTTCGCAATCCAGACTTGTCATCAGCATTTGTTTGTACATATGAAGTTGTATCTTGTACGTGAAAGACCAGGCCTCAATCAAGGCCCCGAGGAAAATTACTCAAGTAAAGAAGCATGAATCCTCGTATAAGTAACTGGGATAGTCATAGTTTTTTCTCCAAATATAATATAATACGTACATACGACAAAATTCTAGGCTCAAGTCCAAACATCTGAAGAGCTCTTACCTGGTGAAGTGAGAGAACTTGCTTTCTTAATCATCTCTCTCTCTCTCTCTCTCTCTCTCTCTCTCTCTATATATATATATATATATAGACACACACACACTATCTCAACCTGAAAACAACTTAAAGGTAAACTTTGTCTCGTAATTCCTCTTCTGTTCTGTATCTATACATTCATTCATTCTCGACTCTCAAATACTTGAGACCAAATTAATGCTTGACTAGCAAGGCCTCCATCTCGTTCTTCCTCGCACCATGTTTCAGTTTCTCAAGAGCAACAAGTCCAACTTGCCTAACTCTTTCTCTGGACAATCCTATACTGCAGAGTTCACATAATCACGTGGTCAAATTAACAAGATGCAAAAGACGTCAAGACTAAGGTAGTTTGATGGATGTTAGGCCCTTATTTGGACTCACCGTTTGCTAATGTCCTCCCATGTAAGACCTTCATTATCCAGACCATAGTAAAGCCTTATGATCTCTCTCTCCCGATCCCCGAGCATCATATTTATGAGCTTGTTTACTTCATCCTGCAATATATACAGAGTAAGAAGTAACTTTTACGACATAGTATCACTAGTTTTTAAAGGAATGAAGGCCAGCTTTAACGATTTTTAAAAGATCGTACCATTTGGTTTTTCTTTTAAGGAACTTCTATTATTTTTTTATCTGGATGGAGATGCTTGAACTATCTCCTTCTGATACAAGTCCAACTTTTTCTAGGTTGTTTTAGATTGTTTCTTGTATTCTTCTTCTTACCTTGAGTGCCAACGCATCCACCCCATTCCACGGGACATTCTCAAGGCGATTATCTGCAATGTACTGTAAAAAGAAAAGTAGCAAGGGAGAAGGTCAATTACAAGACAGAAAACTGGCATGCAAGGAATAGAATATTTACTGAACTGGAATGGCAGAAATTGAGGTGGTGTAATCGACACTTACACTATGATGAGTTTCTCCTGGAAGTCCATTCAAAGAGGGGAATGCGTCCCTATCAAGTGACAAAACCTTACTGATTGCCTGCAGATCAAGAAACTGCATGGTCAGCATGGAGATAACAACATGAGAATGCAATAAAACAGAATACCACAAGCACTTAGTACCTCTGTAGCATTCCTAACTTTCTTTCTGGACATATTCAGACTTTCTGCGATTCTCTGATATTGAAATGTAATACAAGAATCACATATCAGCCAAGAGAGCAGAGTGATAAATCAACATTGTCACTGTAAGTAAAAACATTTGAAACTTATGGTTACTGGCATCAGCATGTTCACGGATTTTTTGTGAGCAAAGCAATTGCTTTCTGAAGATAATAACAAAAGACTTACATCAATTGATGGAGCTATTCCTTTCTCTTCCAGTCTAATTTTTGCATTTCTGATTAAACCTAACCTCTCGTGCAAATGTGTTGGCAGTCTCAAGGTTTTGGAATTTTCAACGAGTGCTCTTGACACACCCTGAGAATACAAGGAAAAAGTAACCAGGGTTAGTTTAGCCAATCAGTCAATTTTGCACGTCAACAGTAAGTTATTTACCATTTCAAGGGGAAGTATTGGCATTACCTGACGTATCCACCAGTAAACATAAGTAGAAATTTTGAACCCCTTTGAAGAATCAAATTTCTCAATTCCGCGCAACAGTCCGATGAACCCACCCTACATAAGAGACAGTGAACTTCTCATATGAGATTCCAATAAAATTCTGTCTTACTGTTGTTTGGGTCTATATATTGGGGTCTCACATATGAAGTAACAAGAGAAAAAATAACCTGGATTAGGTCAGCCATTTCAGCACCCATATTATCATATTTTTGAGCAATGGACATGACCAGACGAACATTGCTCATTGCCAGCTTCTCTCTTGCCAAAGAACATTCAATCAACTTTGACAGTAATTCAGTACGGGAAATCCTCAATGAAGTTGCAAGTTGTTTATCAGAGGGCTCACATCCCAGTCTCTCCTTCAGTCTGGAGATCCAAATGCAAAGATTAGGATTAGAAACAACCAGATAGCAACAAACTTTTTCTTTCGGAAGGAACCAGTCTCCATAAAGGTCAACTTACTCGAAAGAATAATTTAATTAAAACATTAAGAAAAATATATACTCCAACCAATTACCTCATACACCCACACTCCTCACCCAGTAAAAAGTAGAACTACCTGCTCATTGTGAAGAAGCCTAACTTGGCAAGTTGAAAAGGGTTTTGTAAACAACATACTTTCTACGTTATATCTAGTTTTTAACCAATAAATCAATGTTTCAGCACTTGTCCTGCAATCATTCTCAATGTCTTGTCATGGACATTGACCCACTTAATTTAGTACTTATGATTCATAGAACATGGAAAGTTATTAAGTGTTATAACCTTGATTTATGCTCCTCGACAGAGAGGCCAATTTTAATTTTCCTTGACAGGCGTACAACCTCAGTGTGAGTCAGCAAATCCTCACTAAGAACACCCTTCACATAACCCTTTAAACGATTCTGAAGTAGCTCTGGACTCATGACTGGCCTCAATGGCTTATTGGTGCTAGGTTGCGTTAAACAACGATTTGCACTGAAAGCATTCCTCCTAGTACTCATTCTCCTGTGGCGAGCGGATACCCCAGAACAAGTGACTGGTATCCTCTTGTTCGTTGCTGTTTTTATTGTTGAATCCATAAATACTTTTTTCTCGAAAGAAAGATTCCATTGCTTTTCGAGCATAGACTTCTGTAGCAAAAGAAGTGCGTCCACTGAATATTCAAGATCAGAGCTTTCCTCCTCCAGGTCGTTGAAGCTGTGAAACCATTGCTGTGCGGTTGAGGAAGGACCAGAGGCAGCATCTACATGTTCTTTGAAAGCCCTACTGGAGTGGTCGGGTCGATTAGAAGACGCAAATCTAGAACTGGTGTAGTTGGAATTAGACTTTCTGGCAGTGACAAGATTCTTTGTTGAAGAGAAATGGCAATGTAAGAATGCGTGGTCATTGAGATGAAAGAGTTTTTCTGTGATATCTGAATTATAGGAGGAGGAGGAATTCAAGAGCATCTTCCCCGTAGTAATGCCAATAACAGCAGCTATGGCCATCATATGCCTTTTCCTTGTGTGTAAACAATTACCATAACAGTAACAGTTGCTGTCTTATTTTATGAATATGATGTATCTCTATATATGTATGTATGTAGATATAGCTTGAGTAACCCAAGAGTAAGAGCAAGAGCGGATTGATTAAGTTGTTGTAGGATCTGCCACAAATCAATTAGTAAGATTTGCATTAGTAAACGAAGAACTACTAGTATGACTATGAGTAATATTAAGTACGAAGTTGAAGGCAATGATTGAACAACCAAACAGAAGAATACATGAATCATTCACGTAGATTAAAATAGAAAAGAAAAGGGAGAAGCAAAAAGCGACGGATTGGATGAAAGCACAAGAGCGAGAAAGTACGTATGTATATGTGGAACTGAACTAAAATTGCAATTCTCCAATCCAGTCCAATACCCATGATGCTATGATGAGGCCATGGATAGAAAGTTGAAACAGAAAGAAAATAAACAAAATTATTGCAAGCTATCAACCCTGCGATGAACACATGCATATATACATATACATATTTCTATGATAATTCTATCAATCTTAAATAGGAAAGAACAGGGATTTGAACCAGAAGAAGAGTGCACAAGTAGCGTACCTGACAGACTGAATCTCTCTCTCTCAGCTGAAAAACAAGAAGACACCGAATGAGAGAATGGCGACGATGAACCCAAAGTTGTTGAGCAGCGCAACCAATAAACAATCAAGTATACAAGGCAAACTCTTTCCTTCTTGCCTTCCGCTATAAAAAATACAAATGAAATCAATGGTTTTTTATTTTTCATTTTTCCGCCTTTATTTTTCTTTCTCTAGTGTTTTATACATGTCATAATTAAAATTAGAAAAAGTCGATTTATTGTTAAAAGATATGGTACGGAGGGACGCTATTGGTTGGAACAGATTGAGTCTAGCTTCCTGTGGTCAGCGACCTGCCATTATATTATATTTTTCTCTTCCAAGAGCCAAAACAAACCAACCTAACTGCATAAGTGGAAATACAAGGATGCTAAGGAGATTCTTTTAAAGTAAAATTATTCACCATTTATATTTTTAGTACATTATTGTATAATGTTGGTATAGAAATTGTGTCAAAACCGTGCGTTGGTAGAGAGTCCATCCCACTTTTAGGAGGGCCCTCCTTAACATTTTTCGTGGAGATATAGATATGGGTCATCACCTCATACGTCACCGCTTAATTAACTATGATTTACATTGGACGCACATACATCGATAATAGTGCCTTATAATTATCATTCTAGGGAGCATTTTTCTTACCACCTCAAGTAATGGTACTTTGTATTTATTTATTATTATTTAATGAGTTTAATTTTTGAGATTTTTATCTCTCTATTATACACATCTCGAAATTTAAACTCATCTAACAATGATAAATAGAATGATGGCAAAAAATATTTCTATTATTTTACATGTTCTGTTGGCCGAAACACTCTCTAATGAACGAGATGTAAAGTACATATCTTTGTAGAAAATGTAAATAAATGAAATGCCAAATTTGCTTCGAAAGTACAACTCTCATTTACATTTTCTAAAAATGTAAGGTTAGTGCATGCTATTACTTGGCTCCATGTTTCACTTCACACACACTATGCCCTCTCGGTATCACACGACGTATGAGGTTTTTTTTTTTTTTTTTTTTGAGTGAAGGTACTAATATTCATTGATAGGAAATTGAATACGTACAAACAAAATAGGATGCATACAGTGGGCCTCAATAAAAATTTTGCCAGGAATTTCAATCCAGACAAAGGAAAAAAGATCGTCCTGCACCATAAGAGATTATATATGATTACTATCCTCAATTAAAAGCTATATTATTACATCAAGAGATTCCTCGAACCAAGCTACCGGAGTATCAAGGGCTGAACCCAATCTAGCAACCTATGTGCCACCTTGTTCGTCCAGCGTCGGCCAAATGTAACCTTGCACTGAGAAAAATCATTTAAAATCTGTCTAGTATTTGCAGTAATATGCCCAAAAGGATATGAATCCTTTAGGCCCTCATGTTGAAGTGTTGTGGTCACCATCAGAGCATCCCTTTCAACTTCCACGTGTGTAGTCTGCTGGTGTTGTGAAAAAATCAATGCTTCCCTTGCTGCCATAATCTCTGCCAACAATGGAGAACCAACTCCCTCAACTCTCATTGCTACTACAGCCATGAATTCCCCTTTGTCGTTCCGTATCACTACCCCCACTCCTCCAATCTCTAACCGTTCATCCCATGCCACATCAAAATTACTTTTAATCCACTCATTTTCTGGCGGCTTCCATGGCTGCCCAGTGACCACATAGGTGTTCTTCCTCGGCCCATGCCATTTAGGGAATTCATGTAGCCATGTCTGCAATTTACAGTGCATTTCCAAAAGCTCCAGAGCCTTTCCATTCCACAACATTGCATTACGTTCTGTCCATATGCACCAAATTAAAACCATTACCAAGTCAAAACTCTCACTCGACATCGAACCTGCAATGGCAGTTATCCATTCCATCAAGTTGTCTTCTATCCCATTGGCTTCTGATACCCAGCGGATTAGAAAACCACACCACCATCGCACGGGGACAGAACCTCACCACGTGATCAATCGTTTCGACATCCCCGTCACAACAAAAACGTTGTCGGTATATTTAATGTCTTTTTCCTCAAGTTGTCCCTTGTCAGTAATGCATTCATGCAGCATCTCCACACATAGATTTTTACCTTCCCCGGCACGTGAGCTCTCCATATCACTTTCCACAAAAATTTGACCTCAGCAGCCATTATCGAACCATTAGGTTCATTCCCGTTTACTTCCCCATAATACCGTGCCAAATGGTATGCACTCCTCGTTGTAAACTTTCCATTTGACTCCGCATTCCATATTAAGATATCATCCGTATTGAACATGCTAAGAGGGATGTGTTTGATTAGTGCTACCTTTTTCTCGACAAATAGGTTATGTATTGCTTCCATGTTCCACGACGGACTTCCATCCTCAGTAATCAACCTGCTGACTTTGGCATTGTGATCCATTCCCATCGGTATGGGACTAAGAACTTCAAAAAAAATTATGTCTGGGCAGCCAACTATCTCCCCATATGCAAATTTTTGAACCATCTTCAACCATCCACCGTGCATTCCTACGGATTAAAGTACGGGCAGCAGTAATGTTGCACCAACAAAACGACGAATTCAGTTTAACTTGGGCAGATAAGAAATCGGTTTGAGGGTAGTACTTAGCCTTAAAGAGTCGTGTTGCAAGTGACGATAGTTGTTGTAAGAGCCTCCATCCCTGCTTTGCTAACAAAGCAAGATTGAAAGCATAAAGATCCTTGAAACCCAGCCCATCTTCACTTTTTGGCTGACATAGTTTTCTCCAACGAATCCAAAGTATTCTCCTTCGACCTTGTTGTCTCCCCCACCAAGTTGATGAGTTTTTTTTTCTTTTTTTGGTCAATTTAGTTCAAATACCCCTTACAAGTCAACCCAAATATGAGTTCTACACTCACTATGTCATCAATTTAAGGAGAATATGAGAAGAGGAAGAAACAATGGCGCCATACAAGACCTGCATACTTACAAGCTAAAGCAAGGCCGAAGATAACAAGAAACAGTCATAAGCATGCAGTCGTTCATCTAAAACAAAACCGGCAAAAACTCTTGACAGTTGGTAAGCTTCAAATTAAAAAAGATCCTATTACTATTGCTGGCATTGCCGAGCCTCCTATCATAGTCCTAGATAATTGGGACATGGAGGTCAGCTTATGAAACAGGGTTAAGTAACTCGATACCAAGATCAAAAAAAAAGAAAAAAAGACTCGGAACAACAGGAACATTAAACAACTAACAAAGGAAAAGAATTCCAACGCACAACCGCCAATTCAACAACGGAACTATAGTAATTAGTATTCAAAAACACATCTAAATGAACCACTAAATATTTTGTAAATACATTTATGGTGCTGCATTACAAACATCCCAAAATCCCACGGTTAATTCTGAACTCCATTCATCAATTTACACCAACTCTCGAAATTCATTTCAGCAGCCGCAATTAATCTCAATAACTAGGTTAAATTCCTTCAAACACATAAAAGCAATTTCAGACACTATCTAAATTAAAATCCCGGCATTTGATATATAGATGAGAAAATTGAATACATTGACGGAAGCAAAAACTAGATGCATTAAAACAAGACAAGATAATCAATAACCACAAATTATATTCTGCAAGCACAATGAGTGAGCATGATCTGGCTGAGGATTTCATCGCATGAGCCCGCTAGCTAAGTGAACCATTGAGTACAAGTTGTACAATGTTCTTGCCAGCTCTCATGGTCTGATTTTCACAGTAAAAAAACTAATTTCAACATCAAGAAATCCTTCCATAGTCCTTTCTTCCTCGAGATGCAGGTGGAATGCTAGTGATGGGATGACTGGCTCTATGCCCTACAATAGAATAACAATTAGTTTAAATGTTCTCAGCTCCCCAAAACCCTCCATTCAATCCCCCCGTCTCCCATAAAGACATTATACAGCTTGGCACATTTTTTACTAGGAAGATGGCAAACAAAGGAAAGTGGAAGGTAGGTATGGCTTATGATGAAAAGTAAGAAAGTACCCCATGACATGCCATTGCTGAATGAGCTATTTCCTGGAGAATGTGGGCCTCCAGAGTTAAAATTGGGAGAAGGGGGCTGCATCTTCATATGATTCCAATCATTACCACGAGAATTGGTGGGTCGTCCATGATTTGACAGCTGATATTGCTGTCCCAAGCGGCTTGGAGAATTTTGTGATATGTGAGGCATGAAATGAGAAGGTTTTGACAAACGCATGTATCCTGCAAGTGGTTCAGTAGTTGGAGGAGGGCTACCCACCTCTGCATGTGGAAATGATTGAATGGGTCCATTTTTTCTGAAGAGATGGTAGACAATTGTAATCAAAATCAAGCTAGGACAAAGAAATAAGAATACGACAAGAATGCACTCTATTCCAAAACACAGGCACGGAAATGTGTCAATTGTAATCTTCCCACTATTTTCATAAGGAGAAATGTTTACTATTAGAAACCTCCATATTAATTGCACATAACACAATAAAACTTTTTACATTTTGCAGTGGAAACTTTTGAATATATCATTACACATCCATCCATGTGTTTTAAACTTTACCGAAGACTGCCTCAGGTTTCTGCAATATATGCTTACACATAAAATTTTCAGATGAGGAAAACAAAGTGTGTAAGTATCTTGTTGGGCATCCATCCATGTCTTAAAGTTACTACATACTGCATCAGTTATGAGGAATATAATAGTATACCGCATACATACAATTCCCGTCGAGAAAAACAACACGTGTAGATTTCTTGAACTTGCTAACATAATTTCAGAGTAACTAACTCAATAAACTTGATCGATGATACAACTTACCTTTGAAAGGATGGGCCAGTGCTTGAATTTGGCGCATGGTTAAATCTTCCGGACCCAACCAATGTCTCTGCAGAACTAAAATGCATGCCTTGGCTGAACTCAGCAGTAAAGCAGCTTACATCCGAACCATCTTCTTGCAGAAGAAGTTCATCACTGGAATGAGAATGGAAAGACAGAAGAAAAAAAAAAAAAAAGGATACACATCAAATTCTAAACAAACATGAGGTTGATAGATTGATAGATGACTGCAAAAAGTAAACCATCCACTTGAGCCTATAAAAATTCCAATGAAGAAGCCCAATAAACTGTTAGCAAATTGGCATTCAACTTTAATATGCTACCAAATAGTAGATACTACCATCATGGTCAAGTAACGTATGGATAAACCCATTAATGGCTTGCTTCACCATGTGCAAACAATGCAATAATTTTGTACTATATCATTCTTAAAATGCATTAGTTGGAAAAGTGAAAGATTATCATGACTTGACTAAGTATAGGTTAAGAGATCATATAGGTCATAATGAATTACCATGTGCAAACAAAAACCATTACCCAAGCTATGGTCTTTACCAACCAACCATGTTTCATGAGACTAACAGGGCCCCACTTCTTTCAGTTATCTGGTATAATTACTGAGTTATAAAACTACCATCCTGCAGGACATATTGACTGCCATAATCTATTAATGAAAGAAAATGTAGCACTCATGGTAATCGGCCTACCTTTGAGTAGCAAATAAAAGAAACAGTCCGCTTACCTATAGTTGGGATCCCAATCCCCAGGATCAGGCAACGACTGGATAGCCTCGGCCTTTTCATGAGACACTCCCGTGGTCTTTGTGAATTGTATATGGGAGCCAACTGTGATGGAAGCTGGCATGTTCTGGGCTAAGTACCCAGCAGAAATACCACTGCCTCCTCTTGGCTGCTTCCAGCTTCCAGCATTCGAGCTTAAATGCAGATGTGATGGTGAACTACCTAGCATTTGAGAGTTTCCCTCAGCTTGGCTAGAACTGGTGCCATCAGTAGCTTGCCCTTGCCAATGTGTTGATGAACTTTCTTGAGTTTGAGAACCTCCAGGATATCCCCAACTTTTTCGTCTATTAAACTGGCTAACAGCAGCCATCTTTCCTAAAGGTGATCCATGACAATTGCCCCTTGCTGGAGAAGTTGGACCATAATGTCCTGGAGAGCCAGCAGAAACTTGACCGTAGGAGCTTGGCGGAGTAAATTGCGAAGGACTAGTGCCTAGAGGTAGTGGAGCAAAGCTTCCTGCTGAAGGACTCATACCAAGTCCATTTCCATGCGAATACTGAACAATTCTCCGTCTTGCGTCCGGACTACTTCCAAGCATTGATACATTACCTTGTGCATGCATGTTCATCCCAGAAGGGCCAACCGGGGAATAATAAGCAAATATATTACTAGTATCTCCATAACTTCCATAGCTGCTTCCCAATCCAGTACCATCATTATAGCTACCATGGCTTCCTACACTGCCATAGCTATTAGCATGTGCATATGGCACCACCTGAAAATGTGGGCTGCTATGAATGGAGACCCTATTTCTGCCTGGAATCTGCAAAAGAACAAATATAGTGACAACCGAGATGGTGAGTGAAGAATGGACAGCCAAAAAATAAGAATGATGGCATATTTTGAGGAGCAATCAGCTTACATTCGGAGATAAACCAGCCGCAAACCAATGCCCACCACCAGGATGATGGTCCACCCTTATGTTTTGAGAAACGGGCTAAGGGAAAAGAAGAGGGCAAGAAGGATAAAAACAAAGAAGAAGAGAGAGAAAAGCAGTTAGTAATATCACTTGCAGAAGTTCTAATGTAGCCAATAAGAAAAATAGGTAAAGATTTAAGAACCAAAATTAATAGGTAAAAAACCAATTGCACAAACAAAGACTAAAAGAACTCAGGATCTAGGACAAGGTCATCCTCATAGTTCATTATGAGACTCGAAAGCATTTTTGCAGATGTGAAACAACAGCTGAAATGTAAAACCAATTTAAAATCAACTTTTCATAATTACCATGAATTTCATCACTAATCAAGAACTAAAGGAATATGCAGAATCTACCAAACCCAACACACAATCGATGTATCCATTAAAAAGAAAGCCAAGCACAATTATATTGGATATCTAGGTCTGGCTTGACTTGTCTTCCACACAGTTAGATAAAGTCACAGTCAATCCATATAAACTAAGAATGAAGCTTCATGAGAAGAATTAAATAATTCATATGCGAGTCTACATACCATGCGAGGGGTCTCCGAGGGAGGTTTATAAGGGCGTGTAAAAGGCTCCCCCGTAACAAAAGGGTGTTTTGAAGCCTGCAGGTACAAGTTTAACTCACAAATCCATTTCCAAGTAACTATTTTTGCACTATATCAGAAATAAAACAGCAGAGAAGATAATTAAACAACCTGAACAGGTGACCAGCGTTTTGCAGGATCAAACTCAACCAGTCCCCTCAAAAAATCAACCAAAGCTAGTCTTATTTGATTTTCTGCACATAATTGACATCATACAACAGCATTAGTAACTTCAATAAAAGAAACTAGTTATGAATTAAGTCGAACTGTTCCAGTATTGTCAGCTTTGAACATTCAAAAGCATAAAGCAAACCTTTAACCATGTCTTCCTTAGGCAAGTTCTTCCTATACGGATAGTTTGTAACAATTTCTTCAAGGTTCATATGATTAAAATACTCTTTCCCAATTGATGGCCTTTTCAATTCTCTCTGAACAGAAACCAGTTACCATAAGAACTAAACCAAAAATATTAAACGTGATTAAAACTAAACACAAAAAAAAGAAGGGAGGGGAGGGGAGGGGAGGGGAGGGGAGTGAGGGGTAGTGCTCCTCACCTGTTTCTCTTTTCTCTAACAATCTATATCATCTTTTTCTCCTAACATCATTTTCATAATCCAAAACCTTTTTATAATTGACACTTACAGCTTCATATTCTGCTTCTGTTAATGCTTGATAAGCACTTTTTCCATTTGCAGAAAGTTCCCCATTCTCCATATTGTGCACACTCCGAATGCACTTAAAGAACTTGCTTGTGTTTTTTGCCTCCTTAAGTACATAATCAGGGGGTTGCCCTCTGCAACATGTCAACCGTACATCAGGAAAGTGTGAAAAAAATTGCCGCCAGAATAATGACTATCAATTTAAAATAATAATTCTGAGAGAAACCAATAACTGTGCTAATATCATCTAACAGAGAAAGAGTGATAAAATCCACCATAAGAAACCAGTTACAGATCAAGAAACAGCAAATTGTACCCGGCCATATCTCCAAAAGCTTTAGCTATGTAACTTATTAAACAGCGAATTGTCTGCGTACAATATCTCAATTCACCAAATGGTCCCTTCTCCCTTCACCACTTCCTTCCCAGGAGAAATCCCTACCAATAATCTATAGGAGGCTAAAGTTGGGCATAAAGTCCAAACTGTGACTCTATATCAATTGGCGACTAAAATTTAGGGAAAACATGGCGGTTTGGGATTCATGTACCAAGAAAATATTAACATTGGAAATTCCAGCAATGACGGAGGTCGAGTTTACACTTTCACTAGGCTAATATTTGTTGTGTGATGGTTGGAAAGAATGAGGAACAATGAATAACAAAGAAAGAAGAGGAGAGTACGAGCATGCATTCATAACATTAGACATTGAGATAAAGTTTTCAAGTGAATTCTTGATTCAACACTCAACAGAACTAATTTCACAAAAGAGAATCAGAATTTTTAATGTGATAAGTAATGTTTAAAAGGCAAAGGCGTAGGCGAGGCATTTCATGGATAGCCCCGCCTAGGCAAAAGCCTAGAGGCGTGAAGCGAAGCCTCGTGGGACCTAAAATTTTTAATATTTTTATATAATATAATACTTTGTGAAACAAATATCCTTTGTCATTTAAAAGAGTCATAAACAAGATTAACTCACAAACATTCAAAAAAAAGAGGTAACAGTCTCTTTCCTTCGTTAATATGCACTCATTTTACAACTTCAAATGGTCCACATACATCCCCCACCCACTCTCTTTCCCTCGGTACACCCTCCCTTTACTCTCACTTTCATTCTTCTCTTCTCTCTTTAATATCCACTCATTTTTCAACATTAATATTGCCCATATACATCCCCACCCACTTTCTTTCCCTCTGTACACTCTCCCTCACTCTCACCTTCCCTCTTCTCCCTCTCTCTCTCTCTCTCTCTCTCTCTCTCTCTCTCTCTCTCGTTAAATCCACTGATTTTACAACATCAATACGATCCACATACATTCCCCACTCTCTTTCCCTTCGTACACTCTCCCTCACTCTTTTTTTTTTTTTTGAGTCGAGTGATTGCGTTAGTAAGTTAGATGTTAGAGTAGCCACCGACAGGGTTCGAACCCACACCGTCATGCAAGGGCAAAACACTCTCCCTCACACTCACTTTCCCTCTTCAATTGGTGGTGGCAGTGCTGCTCGGTTGGTGGTGGCACACGAAGAAGAGAAGGGAGGGTTTCAGTGTTTCACAAAGAAGAAGAAGAACGCGAGGCTGTTGAGGACTTGAGTGTCGAACAAAGAAGACTGAGAAGAAGTTTTACATAAAAAAATTAAAAAAAAAAAAAAAAAAATCCCAGAACGCCTAAGGTTTGCCTCGACCACGTCTGGGCGAGTTTTCGCCTACTCCCACCGCGGAGAAGCGTTTTCACCTCAGCCTCCAAAGGCGCCTAAGCCCACCTAGAGGTGCGTTTTTTAAAACATTCATAATTGTAAACAACATTCATGAAAAAACGGGTAATGATAATGATACAAGAAGTAAACAAAGCAGATATCATAAATCATGCATAGCAGAATGGTGCCTCATAAATTAATGCATAGAGGTTCCCTTCCTAAAAATACTAGTATGAGCATACCCAAGTATTTCAAGCATACGCCTTAGGAGGTCAAATTCTGAAGCTCCTGGGAACAATGGCAACCCCAGAAACAATTCGGCAACTATACATCCAAAGGACCACATATCGATAGAAGTAGTATATCTGTAAAGGATTAAGTACTAGCATGGTACCTTGATATAATGAAATATGAATACAAAAACTGGATCATAATTTAAACCTCTAATGCAAAGGATACTGATACCCAAGGAGAACTTCAGGAGATCTATAGTAACGACTCTGCAGAACAAATGAAAAACATGCATCTATGAGACCTCCTCTGAAAGATATGATTTTAATAAGCCTTGGAAAAAGCAGTAATGCAAACCTGGATGTAGGAGTAAACAGTTCGATCTTCCATGCAGGCTGATCCAAAGTCAATAATTTTAATTTCTGCTGGCTTAACACTGTTGCTTTCAAGGGAAAGTACACAATATTAACATGAAAGAAATCTATCACAAAAATAACCCAAACTCATCCTCAAAAGGAAGTCACCTTGTACACAAAAGAATGTTTTCCGGCTTCAGATCACAGTGAATTATCCCAGCATCTTTTAACAGAGCCAACCCATGTAGAATCTATTTTAAAGTACCCCAAAAAAATGACACAAGAAGGGTTAAGTTCTAGCATTGTCAAAGGGGAAAAGAAATCCAAATTCAATTACAAGAAGGAACTACCATACTTGTTTGGAAAACAATTGAACAATGGTCAGGGATAGTCCCCTGAAATGATTTATCTTGATAAGCTCATACCTGAATAACTTAAAAATGTCAACAGATGTGCAAGGAAAAACTAAAGGCAACAATTACACATGAATAAGAGTTCAAATGGTGCATCAAGTTACATTGAGTTCAACTCACAACTAATTAGGTAGTGTCAATGACTTACAGATTCGTATCAAGCAGTTCAAAGCAAATGCACAAATGACGATGACACACAAAGTAATCATATATACGCACAATGTGATGCTTATCCTCAGGATCATATTTCTTATTTAACTGCAAAACAAATGGCAAAGAAAACAGTAAGAAAATTGAACATGAGAGACATACGGAAAAAGAACAGCCTTACCGTTGTCAAAATGGATACTTCAACCAGGGCTTGTTGATAGTATGCTGGTTGATTTTTGATGATCTTCACAGCTACGAAGCTGTTAGTCTGTGGAACCAAGCATTTAGCAACCTGGCCAAATGTCCCATGGCCAAGAACATCTTTGACAATGTATCTGAAAAGGTAAGGAGAAAGGACCTAAAAACATAATACTAACTAAGAAGGTTTAAGCTAGTCAGCCACCATGGGAAAGCACAGATTACAACATCTTAATGACTACAATGTTAGCAAAAATATGAATTTCTGGGGTAATTTGTCCTTTTGACAAAATAAACTGGCCTATATTCAAATTAAATATCTAGAGGACAATCTCCAAATTTTTGTCTTCATGTTAATAGTTCTCGATTTTCCGAAAAGCAGTGAAGCAGAAACTAGGAAAAGGTTCCTTTGAGTCGTCAACATAGCACAAAACAATTAATGCATGGACAAGAACAAACCTTCGCTGTGTGTCTAGATTGACCAAGACAAAGTTTACAGTCAAAATAAGATCTGAGTTGACATTATCATAGCCATCATTGAGTACTCCACTTGAAGGGGTGGTCAAATATCTCTTTGGATTCAATTCTTCTGAATACTTGAACTGTGGATTGCATATTTGATATGTTTCAACTAAGTCCTTGGTTAGCCTTGCCACAAACTGAATAGCAGAACGTTGTATATCAGAATAAAATCTGCTTCAAATCATTTCAAGTCGAGACGTATGTACAGAGAACGATATAAATTTGACAAAAATAGATGAAAAAATGCTTTCTAAGATCATACCAAAACAATATAGCAACTAAAAAAAGTTTCCACATTGATGGTACCACTTCTCAGGAATAAGCATAATTCAGAGGGTCTCCCCAGTTAAGTTATAGTATAACAACATACCATACATTTATGTCACTGACTAACATCAACATCCCTAGGTGGGTGAAGGTACATGTCAACCCAAAGTTAAAGATAGTGTTATGCCTGATAAATCTCTGCGTAGGATTGTCTGTTCAACTACGTACTGCAATTTACTTATTGTATTTTACATATCTGAAGAGCTAGCAGTGCATTATTAGAATAGAGCACCTCCTAAGTCTTCTCCCAAAAAAGACAAAGGCAGCGGGTGGCTAGCAGGCTAAGTCTTCTCCAATACCAATGGGGGCTCAATATATAAATATACTCTATATGTAAGTATGTTTTTGTGTGGTCGGAGCTTGCAGCATACAAACATCTTCAAAGATAGAATAATTGTGTAGAAAAGAGCAAGAATGATGTGAATGACTCATTGCACCACTTAAAGAGTTGCAAGAAGAATCGAAAAACACTTACGGGTCTCCTGACAAGGACACGCAGACATTGGGATTTGTTGTTGGCAGCTTCACTCTGCGTAGAATAAGGACTAAATGCGAGCTGGCCGGGACGCCACGAAGAAGCAGCAGAGTCTTTGGATTGAGGACTAGGGCTGAGCTCATCCATGGTCCAGACCAAAATGGAAAATCAAGCTCCGACCCAGAAATCGCCCATGCCCAGAGTCTCCATTGATGAAGATGATGATGGAGATATCGTACACATATACACACAAGTACAGCAACAACAACAAGAACAAACACACTTTTAGCTATTACTGTAGTAAGAATGATGAATCAGCGATTGGACGGACCTGTTCGATGCTCCAATTAAGCCCAATAAGATTAAGACCCCACCAACCGATTCCAATCCCATCCTTCATTTCTCAATCCCAGAACATTACGAGCCCATCGCCGCCAGAAGATCCATCAAACTATCTGATGATTCCGATTCTTCTGGGTTGCCCAATCAAAGATGATAAATACGAATAGGATTTCTACAAGGACAATCGGACCCTAACTGCATACGTTTTACATGAATAAATTTACTTATCGGGCAATTGTTGCAGATGACCAGGGAAGACTATGACAGACAGAAGATAGACGGACTTGCAATTTGGGGCTTACAGCAAAGAGCATATAGGCATTAGGAATTGTGTTGTGTGAAGAAGCCACCGTCTTCCGTCTTTCGTCTTTCTTCTTCCGAATGGGAGTTAAGATTTTCTTTTTCTTTTTATTTAGTATTGTAAATATTACAAAGTCAATAGGTAAAGAGGAAGGGAAAGATGAGAAATTTGAAAAAATAACGAAAATGTAAACTCGATGAATATAATTATAACCATTAAATTATAATTAAAATTTAATATGAAAGTGCTAATATACATTTTCATAATAACCAAAATTTATTTGTTTTTAGAAGAAAATGATGGAACGAAAGACAGCGACTCTGAAGAAGAAGAAGAAATGACGACGATATTAATATGTTGGTGGTGAATCATGTTGAGTCTAAAATTTTTAGAGATGTGTTATTCTCACTCCAATGTCTTATCTTCTCACCCATTTTTTTATGAATTTTTTAATTACAAATTTGTCCATATGTAAAATGACTAATAGGGACCTTAGTTATCTCATTTTGCATTACTTTCTTTTTTATAAAAAATAAAAGTTTGGATGTGATAACTCTCACGCTATGTTTAGAAAATTTATCTCTCGTAAATCCTAACTCATCATTCTCATCTCCCTTCATTCAGAGAAAGCAAAAGGAATGAATTTAGAAGATGACATTTCTATGAAAGAAGTAGATGATTATGTTTCCGTCGAAGAGGTAAAAGATAATTTTATATAGGTCATCTTGATTTATCGACATCGTACAATTGAAGCATAGCTCTATGACTTTTTATTTGAATTTGCATTAGGTTAAAGCATCTCCAAAGGAGATGTCAAATTGTCCAAATCAGCAATAACGGTAACAAAAGACAGCATTAATGTTTTTCAACCGAGAAGCCAAATCTGATGTGGCGTGACATGGATTGACATCTTTCCCCCTTGCTACCAAATTTGACAGCACCTTCAGATTTTTTTTAATTAATTATTAAATGCTTTTTATTAATTTTTTATTAGGTTAAAGTATTATCCTTTTGTTTCTTTTCATTCTCAATGCAAAGAAAGTACATGAATTATTATTTTTTTATTTAAAATTTGACATATCGGTTGGAGAGCAAAAGTTTAAAAGATATCAAAGTGCCATGTAGCCTTCAAATATAAATTTTAGGTTTAAAATTTGACATCTCATTTAAAGATGGTCTTAGGGTGCAATTTGTTTCACGTTTTCCTATGAGAATTCCTCAGGAATATAAATTGGGATTTTTTCTGTCCTGTTTTGCTTTAGAATTCGTGCTCTTCTTTTAGATCCAATTGACCATTGCTCATACACAAGAAAAATAGCTTATCAATAACAAAAATAAATAATCTGACACAAATTAACCAATAACTTACAAAACTAGAACGAACCCATAAAATAAAAATGTACAACAAAGTAAGAGAATCTCCAACATATGTGGCAAAAATGGAAAATGCATATGAAAAAGAAAACAAAAGGGGAAAAGCAAAGAATGAAAACCCAGAATTCTTCATTCCCGCCCCAATTGGAATTTGGAAAGGAAATGGTTTTTTTTTTTTTTTCAAATAATATTATTTGTTTATATATTTTTTTAAGAGAAATTTATCTCCAATTATATATAGGGTTATTTTATGAATAATAGTGGGTGGGAAAATAACATTTTAATTTTTTAACTTTTTATAGTGGGTGTAAATATAACATGGGTGGAAAAATAAGACAACAAGGTGAGTTTAGTAGCTCTCAATTTTTATCATGATATCATAGTAAGTTATTATTCCAACATGTCATGAACCCAATTTACTTGGCTCGAATTTATCTCTTGCGGTTGATTTTTAAAAAAAATTGTACTAGCTCTAGTGAATGAATGATAAAGAGGATCTCAAAAAGTTGCTTTGCTTTGGCATAATGAGTTAAACAGTTTTGATCAAGTGGGAATTAGTGTCATGTGTTACCCGTGTAATTACTTGGGCCTTCCTTCGATTCAGGGCAAATCAAAGAAAAATGCTATGTTCTCTGTTAAAGATCGGATTAAGAGCAAGATCCAATGCTAGAAACTAAATGCATTATCAATGGCCGGTCGTGAATTAATGTTCAAGGCAATAGCTCTGACGGTTTCTAGTTATCCTATGCATTGTTTTCGGTTTCCTACCTCTAAGTGCAAGGAACTGGACTCTCTTATGTCAAATTAAGTACTGATTTGGTACTGAGATACTTTTATAAAAAGTGAATATCAAAAAAAGCTGAGCTCAAAAAAGTGTTTGGTAAACTCTTAAAAACAACTTATTTTCATATTTTTGGGTGAAAAAAAGCTGAAAACGTGAAGCAGCAAAAATAAGCTTATTCTCACAGCACAGCAGAAACAGTTTTTTTTTTTCAAAACACAGCAATACCAAACGAGACATCAATAATTCTCATCTATGCTCTATTTGTAAAGCACATCTTGAAACAATAGAGCATGCTCTATTGCGGATGTGTCCCAAAAGGCAAAGAAGTTTTTCTTGGAGATGTTAGAATTTATATATTACTAGTCTCTCTGCACGCACTAGTGTGCGTGTAAGAGGTATTTTTGCATCATGGGCGTTACGCGCCCCTAAAGGTGTATTGTATTTTTTTTTTTTCATTGTAATTGTCAATATATATTTTTAATGTATCGTGCAAAGAGGAACTTTTTCTTTATCACGCACGTCCTAAAAAGTTGTCATGTTTTTTGTTATCACTTTGCGTAAAGTATTGATTTAAATGTTATTCATGCAATTGTCAAACAACATGGGATTTTGGCTGCAAGTTCCCATCTAAAGTTCATGAATAATAGTAAGTAGATGTGAATAAAAAAAGAGTAGATGAAAACATTAAGTACTCGTAGCAAAATACAAAACAACTTAAATGTCAAAATATAAAACCTACATCACAATATGTACAGTATTCACAATACCCATAAAGTCTATATGTCACTGCTTTTTTTTTTTTTTTTTTTGAAAAGCGAAATGACATCAATGCTGCAATTTCCACCCATTTGTTCCTAATTGATGCTTCAAATTTTCATTGCCAATCTACAAATGACAGTGAGAAAATTAAAAATCAAATAAAAAGAGTTAATTGATAAGTGAGAAATGCATATTGAAAGGTTATCGTTAATAAAGCAAGACTTCTTTATATACTATATTCCGTATAAATACACCTTGTTGGCCTACTACAGAGCCATTTTTTACTAACACGGTTGTGGTTGACTTTGAGACCCCCCTTGATAAGGCCACATATAATTGTCTATGACTAAAGACGTGATTTGGAAGGTAAATGTCTACATGTGGTATTGTCTGACCTTGAGATTTGTTTACAGTGATAGAAAAACTTAGTTTCACTGGAAACTGGTTTCTTGTAAGTTCAAATGGAAGCCTAGCAATATCAGTGCTTTTGAGAGGGATTCTTGATAAGAAAACTCTGGATCCGACAAATTGTCTAGTTAGAATTTCAGCATCAATAATATTTCGGTAAGAACCGCGACACAATAATCTTGTACCATTACACAATCCTAATTTCGGATCAATATTTCCCAAAAGCATGATTGGAGCACCTCTTTTCAGAGTTAACTTGTGTGGAGGCAAACCACCAAGTGAGATTGAATTCAAGAACTCTAGCTGATACAAATTCCTTGAGTCATCCTCAACTGAATCAAATGAATACATTGTCTCTTCTAAACCTGGAAACATATTGATTATCTTTTCATTCAACATATCAACGCCTTCATTTGTAGGAGTTATCACTGCCCTTTCCACAATGTAGGTTGCATCATTTATATGATCCTCTAAGTCAGGGAAGATTTTGGCAATTAATTGATTAATGGAATGCTCACTCTCCCATGGTATCATCATCCATTCAGGTAGTTTTACCATATCATCCATAATAACATCTTCATTCCCATCACCAATATGAAGTAAAAATTCTGAAAATTCACGATCATTTATGGATCTCATATTTTGTTTGAGTTTAAAAATCTTTACCTGTGACCAAAATGATGCTTTAACGACAATTGCTTGTATTAGTTCGGACTTGGTTCCTTTCAGGATAACAGGAAAAACTTGTTGAAAGTCTCCCTCAAATATCATTATCTTCCCCGCAAATGGTAAGTCAATATCTGTTAAGTCTCTGAACGTTCGATCAAGTGCTTCAAATGCATGGCGATGCGTCATTGTTGCTTCATCCCAGATAATTGCCTTTGCTTTTTGTATTAACTTTGCTAAATCAGATTGCTTACTGATCGAACACATTGATGATGTATCGAGATTAAGTGGTATCTTGAATTTAGAATGTGTTGTCCTTCCACCAAGCAATATCGTAGCTGCTATTCCAAATGATGTTGTTGCTAATACTATGTGCCCCAACCTTCTCAAGTTTGCTAACAATGCGCGATATAAGTAAGTTTTTCCAGTTTAGCCGGGACCATCCACAAAAATAGTTGCATGCTCCGATCGTTGAACTGCACTCATTATTGTGTTAAACGCACTTTTTTTGTCATCATTTAAGCATTCGATTGCATTAAGATCTTATTGTGGAATACCTATGGATATTTCATCTTCAATACATCTTGTCATTCCTGAACTTGATTCAATTCCTCTTGTCATTCCTGGCAAATCAAACTCATTTATAATCTTATTAAATTGAACCAAAAGTGTGTTCAACTCACGCAAGAGTCTGTTGGTAGCAAGTGTGGGAGTTATGTTAGTCGTGGAAACATAATCTTCTATCATGAATGGATAGAACTTATCCATAACTGTCGAACACCAATTGGTGCACAATATACCAATATGGTGACAAATAATCTTCTTAAAGTCGACGGCATCTGAATTGTGGAGGCATCTAGCAAACATTGTCGAATATTGTCATCTCTTTCTAACAAACCACGTTGTTCTGCTGCCTGCTTATATGTTGGATGCAAAACCCCATTAATTGTTCTCAAGTTTGTAAGGGATGTTGGTCCTCTAACATGATTAAGAAGAATCCGAAGGTAAAATTTTTCGCCTTCAGCAGGTGAAACTGCATATATTCGCTCAATAACCTTGTTGCGATTCATTTTTTTCGACCACCTTCTTTGAGCTTGAATCCATCTGTAATGTGATGGGATCTCCATGTATAAGTATTGTCACGCTTCTGCATCCATATGATTAAGTGTGAAAACTTTTGTCAACATTGACTTTCTTGTACTCTCATCATGTAGAATATTTGTTATACTATCTTCGGCACGAAACTGAACTGGTGCATATTAGGAAGATGTATTTGCAATCGCTCAACAAATGGGTAAATTCGATTAATAATGAACTTGAATATCTTCCATAATGGCTCTGGTGCGCAAACACATCTTGCATCCTGAAACTACTTTATTTCATCGTATTCAGTTGATTGCACTTTGACTGTCACTTTATATGGGGCCTTTGTAAACATACTTAAATACTTCACACTTTTTATGCTTGCACAAATTTCAACATTGATGTAACAATCATACCTTAACAGCAACCATGGATTATATGGAATGACCTAACTATTATCAACCATTATGTTTCTTTGTCGATCAAGTGAGATGGGCAATCGATTTCCTCGCCTTTGATAAATTGGATACGAATCATTCCCTTGAACAGTGACTAGTGCAAATGGTTTGGGATACTTTCTCTTACAACTCCTATTTTTCATACATGGAGATTGAGGATTATGAATCCCACACAGGCCATGAATCATATGCTTTAACACCACATTGTAAAGTTGAGGCTTTACGTCTTCGTTTGGTATTTCAGCTCTAACAATTCGATCATACTAATCCTGGTTATTGATCTTATCATTTTCATCTAACATCACCAACATATGCACATGTGGAAGACCACGTTTCTGAAACTTAATAACGTATGCATAAGCAACAACACTGCCCAGTACCCCCTTTTCAATGATGTTTTCTTTTAGTTGCTCAATTTTTGAACGAAATACTCTAGTGAATAACTCAGGACGATCTTGTGGTGTTTGTCCAGTGAGTAATTCGCTTTTGATTTCTTCCCAACTTGGGTTACATGTCATCGTAATAAAAAGATCTGACTTTCCGAATCTTTGAACCAGAGTCATTGCGTCTTGATATCGTTGGTACATGTCACGCGGGCTTCCAACAAATGATGATGGTAAAATAATTTTATGCCCGATGTTACCTGATAATTTTTTATTTTCAATTAGTAACTATATATATTGTACACACTTTGAACAAAATTATATTCCAAAATAATGATGACAAACGATATATATACCTGCATTGTGTTGACCTGCATTTAAAGAGTCTTCAAGTCCTTTGTAATGAGATCCGCTCTAACTGTGGCTTGATTAGAACGCAATCATTTAAGTTTTTGTGATTCAATTTTAATGTAGTTATCTACAACATATTGTTGCAAGAAACGCCCACCTCGAAGCAAAAGTAATGATCTATTATGGCGTATCTACAAAAGCAAATTTCATATATTGCTTTTAATATTGGAATCATCATTCATCTATATATACTACTAGGAAGTAAATTATGTTATCGGTACAAACCTGCAACATATAAGCATAATAGTCGCAACATGTTATTGCTCTTCCACCATCTTCACGACTATTAACATCCCAACCATATGTACTGTAAGGTAGCAATAGTGGATATTGTAACGGATCATAAAATCCGACATAGTCTCTGACGTGAGAAAGTCTTCCACTAATTGTCTCCACCACAATACCTCTTCCATTTGCAATTGTGGCATTATATCTATTTATTATAATTGCTGCAACTTGTGATGCTGACGGTAAACTATACTGACGCCGATCTATTGGTTACTCTTTTAGGATCAACTTACAATTTGGCAAATCTTGACGTTGTCCAAGACTTCGCAATGTATGAACAAAAGGATTATGGTTGTTCAACATCTGTTGTATCTTTTCAACCACACGTCTATCTAAAACTTCACTTTCACACATTCGGTTTTCAACTTCATGTTCAATGTCATATATATAAGCTTGTAAAAATCGCGGATTGTTCCCTTCATTTGATTAAAGTCCACCAATCTTATGATATAGCACGAAATGTGTAAATCCCATGACCACCAATATTTATTCTTTCATCCACATGTACTCCCATTGAAGTGAATGCAAATACATGATTGTAAGCTCGAATATTTTGCATGAAGTGTCTACCCTCATTTGTTTGGTCAGAGAAAAGAGCAACCATTTCTGGTGGAGACTGTATTGGGGGTAAAGCAATTATTCCTTTCAAGCAACACATATTCATTGTTTCTCTAATAAACAATCGTGCATAACAGTATGAGCATGTGATTGGAGCAGGTAATTGACAACCTAGGATGCCTTGATTCTCATTATAATTTCTAGCACAATTGTGGATTCTTCTTGCTCTGTTTTGGCGCACATTACGGTTGGCTTTATTTGCATGTCCTCCTAATATTTATACATGAGTAAATATAAAAAATTGCATAATGCTTTAAGTATGAAATAAATACAAAAAAGGGAATTGAAATAAATACCAGGGAATTGTTGTTGTATATTATTGGGGTCGACTTCAGCACCATAGTAATCCATATCAACTTGTTCTTGTATATTACTGGAACCTATTTCTTGTATATTTAAAAGTTCGAAATTAGATTTTTATTTTTATTTTTATTTTTTTTTTTGCATTAGTATGAAACAAAATTTAAAAAAAAAATTCAAGATTAAATAAATACCATGAATTTATTGTTGTATATTACTGGGGCCTGCCTCAGCATCATAGGTACTTGCATCAACTCGTTCTTGTATAGTATCAAGACCTACATGTTGTATAGACATGATTTAAAATTTTCGTAGTTAGATATTTTTTTTGTTGCATGAGTATGGAATAAATTTAAAATTTTGAAATTAAAATGAATACCAAGAGTTGGTTGTTATGTGTAACTGGGCTCTGACTCAGCAGGATAATCAGGTATATGAATTCTTTGTTGTGTATTACTGGTGGCTGCCACAGTATGATCATCACTTACATTTGCAATTTCTTATCTTTTTTCTCATGCTATTAGACCTCGTCTGGCTAGATATCTTTGATGCTCCTCAGGACTCAATGATTGACGCCATTATCTTGCACGATTGTGAGGATGCTCTATGGAAAGTATATCTAAAAATATTAATAAACACCATGAACCTAATATTGAATTCGAACTTTGTGATATTTAACGGATACAATAAAGTACCGCAGTAGTATATATTGTAACACTTCCTAAATTATATAATTTTGCAAATATATTAGACTGGTAAATGTAAGGCCTAGCCTCAGCTTCCACATTATGAAATGCATTTGTATTGAGGGTGAAATTATTAGTTCTTGAATGGAAATGTGACAGATGTGATGCTTTAATTATTTCATGATTGTTTGATCCTGACATTGTTGTGCTGTAGTTTTGGGTAAAAAGAAGGGAGTTTTAACGAAAAGTTCGTGGTACTATTCACTTTAATGAAAAACCACATGTTTACACTAAAAAGTCAAACTTGGTACTATTCACTTTACCTTTTATTTTGTCATTATCGTTAAAACTTAAAGTTTTCAAGCCATTTTCATTAGTTTTCCTTAAAAAGAATGTTTGCTTTAAGCATGTGACTTGGGGAGTTTCCAAAAAAAAAAAAAAAGAGTTATGTTATTCATATCGTGTTTTTATACCATATTTCTTTACCACCTTAGGTGGCATATGATGTGGACAGCCACATCATTTGAAAATTTTGCAAAACCCAAGGAAATGAAGAAGAAAGACTCCTCGTATACCACAATCATCATTTAATTAATTAGTTTTTCTTAATTATTAGTTTATTAAATAATGAACTAAATTTAAAACTCTGATTAATTCAAATGATGTGGCTATCCACATCAAATGTCACCTAAGATGATATGAAAATGTGGTACAAAAATATTGTATGAATAGCATTACTCAAAAAAAAAAAAAAACATGCGACTTGGGGAGGTGCATGTTGGTAATTTGGGAGGTATTTGATTATAATTTTTTGTCGGATTTGCAGTTGTTGGAATTTGGGAGCATTCTCTATGATGTCCCAATTTGGAAATGCTCATTGATATGTTCTACCTTTGACCACATGATTGTTTGGTAGCGGTCAAAATTAAGAAGCACCAAAAATTGGTTTGAGTTTGATGTCC